CAAAGGAAGACATCGATCCAAGCATCGGAGAGGTGACAGCGTGAAGCTTTCGGATCCAAGGACCTCCAAGGATTTAAGGATCCATAAGTTCCTGAAAGGGAACAATTTGCAGCAGCAAAAGCGTTGACGCGGCGAACAGTTGATCTCCGCCTCAGGACGGGAAGAGCCGCTGATTCCCGAAAAAGGAAAGAACTTATGCCGAAAGGATCTTCATTGCAGGTGCATGGTGAGTGGTTGCTCCGAAGGGCGCCCGGAACTCATACGGGGAAGATGGACAAGCCCGGCTTCTGAGCTCCCTCCAGGGGCAGCTTACAGTAAAAGAATGCTCAACAATGTACCATGAAATACATTGAAATACCATCAAAAACGGACCTCGATCGACCCAGCTTCTACATACTCTCAACATCGCTTAACATCGCTTAACCCCAAAACCATCCAAAACCCCTCATATCAAACGAACCTGCTGGTCCAACATCTTTCGCTCTCCAGGCACTCCGTGGGCTGTGTTGCTCACTGCGGTTGTTTCTCTATCCAGACTCAGCGGACTCAGCGCTGCTCCTGGCGGGCGCCTGCGAATCTCCCCGCAGCCCTGTCCTCGATGTCTTTCTGGAGCCTCTCTGCCTTGTGACCAAAGGGAAGTGAACCAGTGAACCGAACCAATACGAATCGTCGACAGCGCACGCACACCACACATGCACATGTGTGCACAGGGTCCAAGGACAGCCGAAACACAAATCATGCCGAAGCTACATATCGACTTCAAGAAATGAGTTGGACCATGTTGAACCTTCGATTCCTCAACTCTGGGCCGAGATATAGCGACAGTGCACTCAGATGCTCTTTCCCCAAATGGACTGGATCGTCTGTCCCACACCTATTGGTCTACAGTTCAACAATAAGAAGACCATCCAACCAACCAGTGGTGCCCACTCCTCCTTGCACCAATCGAGAAAAGGCCCCGCACTCCACATCCGGAGGCTCCAAATCTTGCAAACGTTGGCAATGTCTGCTGGAGTCTACGAACCAATAAATAGACACCTACTGGATACGGTCTGTCGAACTAATATAGACACATCAGGTTCCACATGCGTTCTAAACACCAACTGACTGTTGATCTTTGACATCTCTAACTCTAACCACTCCGCCAGCAGGCGGATTTCACCAATATTGACCTCCCTCAGTTTCCCTGGATAAAGGTTACCCACTTGTCCTGAGTAGGAATATGTAGGAATACACTCCCCGGAAATACTATGGAAGAGGAAAATAGCACCTTATGGCCCCTTACACGAGTACTTCATCTTGCTTGGAGGAACCCTATGGAGCCCTTTGTAGTCCTCTCAAACCAGTGCCAACCCTCAAGGCGGAGCCCGCTGTCCGCGGCCTGAGGTTGGAGCCTGGAACGGTCAATGGTGCGAATGGGACTGGCAACAACGAGGCCCAGGAAGACCCCCTAAACCAACACCGGACGTAATCCTGCCGTTGGCATATATATGTGTATATGTGTACGGTATATAGATTTTAACATGTAATGATGTTGAGTGTCAAGTGAATATATAATATAGTAAAATCTATCTGATAATACAGGGTGTAGCCTGCCTCATACTTCTGCAGCTGCACCCAAGCACGAACAAACAACATCAAAACACGTGTTGGACGTCTGTGTGTTGTTGCTCCCGGATGTGCCCTCCTACCGTTCGGCGGCCCTACCAGTCTTGGCCTTCGAGCCCAAACACACGAAGGTGGGCTTGGAACAACAAGAAACGCACAAAACAGCGGAATCCTGGAACTTGCCTGATCATGGCAACGGCACATCCTTTGCAAAGCTAAATTCCGGATCTAGAAGCTGTCATCATGGGAGTACATGGTAGATCATATGGTCAACAACAGTTTTTTCCACAGCTTTGAACTCTATGATGATTGCTCAATTGGCTTGAGAATGTTGATGCTGCCTAGACCAACTTGAGTACAGTAATTATGTTGGGCTGCGGCCTGGATATGTGCACAAGATGTCGATCTAAACTTGAGCCACACCTATTCTGACATCCACCTGTGAGCAACGAGCCAGGAAGGCCAACACCACAAAGTTGTTCATTGCTTTTCCTACTCAGTGACCTTTCTAGTAGGTCACTGTCATTGATGTGTTGTTGATAGCTAGTGGCCTACTAGTCTGGTAGACAGGAATGAGCTTGGTAGGCCAGTCACCCTTCTGATTGGCCCAATCGCCTCGACACAGGTGACATCAGTCTGGTGAGATGCCTGGGCCATGCCAAGGGAGTTTTGTGACGCTCTGCCTGCGTCGGAGCAGCAAAAATTATCAACAACTGGCCTGCCATGTTTTCCAATCAAAGCAGGTGTGAACCAAGTCCCGATCTTGAATCCAGGTCATGCATGCTTCGGAACCCAGCTGCTGGCCAACTTGGGAAAATGAGACCCAAGCAGCTCTGCACCAAACGCTCTGACCGATCACGAAAGCAACCGACCATCGGTTCACCCGCTGATTGGAGGTGTACACCGCAGCGGTGTGCGTGCCCTTTTTGACCATGGAGCATTGGCTGACGTCGGCTGCGTGGCCCGCAACGAAAAGCGCATGAAATGAGCTATCCAACGGCACCAACCTGCAAGTATATATATATATATAACTCATGATCATTTGACTCCTATCTCCCAATCTAGTTGATCGGTAGCGGCAATATTATGGGTGGTTGATGGATGCTCCATGTATACAACGCAAAGGCTCTCGTTTGTGTGTGTGCTCGATCTGCCTGTCCAAAGAGTGGTGCGATCTGCGGCGGTCGCCGGGCCACGGTGCCTCCAGAGGGCATGGTCTGCCAGGGTGAACCATGGACAGTTTGCCGTGATCATATCAGGGTGGCGTATTCGACGCCTACTAATAAGTGGTTGACCTCGATCCAGAGCAATCGCGTGAACCCATGATTGAACCCGTGCGTGACCACTTGGAAAAACAGCAGAGCAATTCATGTCACCGAGTCTAATGTCTCTTGATCAAAGAATTTCTGGGTACTGTGCCCTAGGGCTCCTGGCCCATCTCCTCAGGTTCGGTGGTTAGACCCCCCTGGCACCCACCCCTGGCCCATCTTCGAAACGGAGGTGGGCCAGGAGCCCTAGGGCCCTAGGGGTAGTTCAATCGACATTCTGCCTTTTGAGTTGGAGACGGGGTGAATGTGGTGCTTCTGCCCTGCTTTTCGGGTGCGGAACCACCCGAAGCGTGCGGAACGTTGCGTTGTTGCTCGTTGTTCCCTGATTGATCGCTCGTTGTTCATATATAGGTGCCCTCTTCGCAAGCATGAATGTCACATGGGGTGTGCCTGATGAGAAGATATGGGTGCAACATGGTGCAACTAGCAACTATAGACCACGATACGGGGGTGAATTTGGACGGCTAATTGGGTGCATGTGCTTGCAATTGGGTGCAACTAGACTTAGAAACCATTCTTAGGTGATTTTGGACCCCAAACTATAATACAGTATGGTTTCATGAGATTCCATACTACGTGGGGTGTCCTTCCAAATCCATCGACTGCTGACGTACGCGTGGGTCGTCACACACCAAACGCTCCCCGAGTCCACTTCACATCGAGCGCCTCTTGAAGGGACGGCGAACATCCACCCCTTTGGAACAGGTCAGGACCTGTTTTCCATGTTGAAAAACCAACCTTTCCGTCTGCACAGCTCAGCCAGTCAAGATGCACCCATCCTCCCTCACTTGATGAAAAAGCTGATCCACGGAAACCATCACAGAAGAGAGCGCCCAGCGCGCAGCTCACTATGCACAGCATGTCTTCGCCGTTGGTGTCCCGCAGCGGCGGGGTTTCCCATGGATAGTGCGGGTAAAAATAGAAAACACAATTATGATTATGCAATATGTAAACAACTAATTTATATATATAAGTTTGCAACAGGTCCCCCGTTTGAATAGATAAGGGCCTAATCATGGGGAAAATCTATCTTTTTGCAATGCCTCCACACCATCCTCCACGGCGAGGTCAGCTCTCAAACTCAATCTCGCAAAAGATCAAGTTGTTGCTGACGGTAGACCTCTCAAGACAAACTTGGCAACCCAGGCAGCATCAGCACACAAACACTAACACACACACACACACACGCACACTCTTAGCGACCCCAACAACCTAGAACAGCTCACGCTCTTTCTCGGCTGAATGCATTGAAAGCTGTTAAGGCTGTTTCTACTAATCTATACTAATCTAACTATTTGGACACCTCGATGCCTCCATAGTACAAGTATACATACGGGCAAACTCACGACTCGGATGGCGACCTGGTTCCAGCTCGCCCAGGCATTGCTGCGTATGATGTATTTCCCTATAGGGATCCAAGTACCTTCTCACAAGGTACGACTGGACCCTCCTGGCACCTACACAACAGTGTCGAACACATCACCTAACCTGAGGTCCGGTACGACTGGATCCCTAGGGTTTATATTGAATGGCAACAATGGATCTGGAAGCTTGTGAGGCCCGACCCTCAGACTGTTCATCCCTATGGATCCACCCATCCCGAGGCGTCGGGTCGTGCGTCGTACCGAACCTGAGGTACCGTGGACCCGTGGATCACTGGATAAGAAGATGACTTCCCCCCATAGAATGGGTCAGAAAACCCAGAAAACCTCTGCTTGGAGAAGAAAAACGGTGAGTTTTTGCTGTAGATCTTCCAAAAGAACTGTCCAACCTTTGGGGGGTTTTCCACTTCGCCAACCCCTACCAGTTTGGACCGGCACCGGACCACCTGGTCCAGAAGTATAGCAGTAACCAGCAGCGGAACTGGTTATGGCTACCTCATTGGCCCAGAAGCGTTCGCCTCATAGGCCCTCTGCAGCATCAAGTCCTCCGTTCCATGCCCAACAACGAACGGTGCAGCACGGGACGAGAGCGCAAGTCCCGCAAGATGGACGTGTTTCGGAATAGAAACAACATAGAAAGACTCCTCAAACACACACTCATATATTAATATATATATATATAGTATATGGAAAAGAACACGGGACCCAAATACCCAGTGCCTGGAACATGGGTCATGTGAATCGCACTCGTTCAACCTGCCGTCCCAGTTCCGAAATCACATCGCAAGACGAACCCCCAGAAAGCAGTCAAACAGAAAAGGAAAGAACCGCCAATGAAGAACCCATTGGTTCGTTTGAGACATGCGAAACACCAGTGGAAACAACCCAATTTGGGTCAAAGGCGTAGAATCTGAAACACCTGGGACCGGGAAGGCACCTTTTGCTTAGGAGCACTCTGTTTTGTTAAGTCATCTAATCATTTAGCTTTACAGGTGAAGCATGAGCTCACAGCAAATCAAAGCAAATCGTTGTACACATTTAGTATATAGACACCAATCGCTGGACTCCCTGCACCAAGGTTTCAAAGTTCGGCTTTGTTGTCTGGCTTGTACATGAGACCCAAGTGTGCATATCTATACAAAACATAACTATAATAAGACTAACCAGGATGAGAAACGTTGTGGTTTTACTGAGAACCGATTTGAAGCAGAATTCGGCTCATGTTTTGACATCGTCAACAACTCTTGGCACATATCGAGGTACTACGGTGACTGTAACCATAGGTACAAGCGACATGGCAAGAAGACATCACCGAACCTTCACTTCCCAACGTCCGTCCACTCCAACCATCTGACCATGTCCACACCAAATCTCTTCAACCGCCCGGAACCCCCCCAGAAAACGACCCTGATCGTCTTCCCCATCATTTGGGCGCCATCCTGGCAGGAGTGATCCCTTGCCGAGTGATCCAATGCACTCCCAGGGACCGGGACAAGGTATGACTCACATGGACCCGGTGGTTTGGGCAGAAAGACTGCTTTCCTCGGTCGCTGCTAGCAGCGGTTTTCAGGCTCCAGCAAGGGCAACGCCGACCGTCTAATATAACATGTGAGAACCATATAGCGGTAGTATGCTGTAGTCTTCATCTCGCCCCTTTGGTTGGCTATGCTATTGCGGCATTTCATCAAGGTAGGCTTGTCCTTAGTTGTCTTAGGCCAATCCTCTGTTCATTGCACAACCCTGGGTGTGCTTCCACATGATTCCCCCCCGCACAGCGAGAGCACCTGCAGAATTCCATGCTGGAGGTGCCAGAATTCCACAGCCCTCGGCATGACGACACTGAATTGCGGAGCCTTCCTTGCGGAACAAATAGCTTACCCATATTTATCCATAATATCCCTAGAAAGGATCAGCAAAACAGAACTGGAATAATTAGGGGTGTTCAACGGATGTTTGCGGTGGTGCCAGAAAATTGGCAGCTGCTTTCATTGAACACATAGCTGACATAGCTGCCAGTCTTTCAAAACAATGGCGACTACGCGGTGAATTGGATGCACAAACCGGCCAAGCCCCACGTCAGGCAGGACATCACGCTCACTTTTGGTCGCATGACATCACTCGTTCATCCTTGAAGGAAGCTGAAAACAGCCTCCTTTGTGGTAAGCTTCTTGTAGACGGCCGCATACACGGGCAACTTGTTGTCAATGTGCTCCTTGTCCTGTCGTCGCCCCATGAGACCTCTCACCAAAAACACACAAAGGTCATCTAACGAACTGCGGCCAAGTCCTAGGCCAAAAAGCAAAGATGATCACTCATTGACTCGTATATAATATACAATAGAATAGATTCAACACAGATTCACTATTCTCGTAATCATATACAGTTACACTTATATAATATATGTATCCTTATAATTATGTATAATGTAATAATATATTCTTATATTGTCCAATAGTGGGTCAACCTCACAAGTAACAAAGAACCTCAAGTCTCTGAGGTCCTTGTCCCTGGGGTCCAAGAGTACTTTCAGAATTTGGCTGCCATCACATCCAAGTCGTCTTCGCTTCCCTACGATCTCAGTGGGACCAACGATGTCCTCGAGGATTGCCTCATGAACAGTTGTCAGGGTGCGGCTACGTGGGCGGACCTTCAAACCCTTTCGTCTGAAGTCCTTATCCAGGATGGTGCGGCTGGCGACCAGCACCACATGTTTTCGATTGAACTTCTTCTCCAACTCTTTGATCAATCTGGACTGAATCTTCTTGGCATATTGCCATGCGCGGAAAGGGATGTGCAGGATCATTGCTTCTCCACCTTTACCCACCTCAATCTCAGTCGCACCTGAGATATAGACCTCTCGCATCTCAGCTTTGTAGTCGCAAGAGGGAGACACTTCGATCTCAACCAGGGCCTTCGCCACCTCTTCTTCCAAAGGTGTTGGAACACCACCCTTGTCCTTGATGATCTTTCTGCGAGTGTTGATCATGACCTAAGTGGTACCCAAGGAACCAAACATAAAACACATCCAACACACACATCCAATGGTCCAAGCCGTCAAAGAACAATACAGCACCCAAACCCAACAAAGGGAATACAGCCTGTATACTACATCTGTATATCATATTTTGTAGCCCAATGTAGTACACAATAATAATCCATAAAGTAACCAAATGTACATCATAACCATCCACACAATTCCACAAATCTTATTACCGGTTCTTTTCTGCTGGCTCATGGGGGCCCCTTCGGGTCAATTCCACCATTTCATTACAGGATTTAATCGTGTGCCAAGTGTCGTAGGCAGCCTTGACCTCTGAGTACCGCAGCCAAAGACTGATTGGTTCTCAATGGCTGTGAAACCAATAACGGCTACGGCGGCGGAGCCCTATGGTCTCAGATACTCATAAACTTGAAGCAAACATAATACTAGGACAATGGCCCAATGGCCAAAAAGTACCAGGGCCAGCTAAGGAGTGGTTTAATGGAAATCCCTTAATCTGTAAGGGGTGCCCTGCTAGGGGGTGAACCGCATGATTGAGGGCCTACATGAGATTTGCCCAAGAAACTCGAATTCTGTAAGAGCTCGCGTCCTTCGGACGTCTTTGGACCGAACTTAAACAGTGTAGACATCCGCGGGGATCACCTGCACACTCATATGGTCTTCTGAAAACGGAACACCAAGTCATCGGTTTCCTCATCCTCCAGTCCGGAGTGAAGTTTCCCCTGTTTCACAGCTGAGTACTTATAACACTCCCCCAAACAAGTAGGTAGTCAAAAACACAACTCTGTTTTATTTCCATACGTTTCTATTCCAGTTGTTCACCAAATAACCACTGGGGGAACAGGCTCCGGTGGACCACCGGACCGGTCCGGTGGGTCTCTTCTCTCTCCCTCTTCGGTGCCGAGCTCGGATTTGGAGGACGCGAGGACGGCAGCTGTCCAACAACATGGTGAAACATGTGGCTCTGATGTTGAAGAACAACAAATAGAATAACAACAACACTCTACAAAACATATCAAAACTATGGTGAATGTTGATAAGTAGAGTGTTCTGGTTGGTCACTTTCTGGTGTTGAATCAAGAATTCGAACAAAGAACATGCGCTTAAGCCGCTTAGTGTTCTGAGTGTTGGAATGATTTGAGTGTCCTGGTTCATAAGTTGCTTTACACTCGGCCCTTCAGCTGCTGCAGGCAACGACCCTGCACCAGTGTCCAAGTTGGTTCTTTCCTCTCCCCCCACTTAGTGATCGTCTCGCAACCTACATAATTAATGACCATTGAAGATTGACATCATCTATTCAACTCGCTTTCGAGTCCTACTATATAGAGTCTAGCAAGACCTAGTGGTACTCAATGTATCCAGACTGGGACCATAGGTACTTTGAGCATTCGCTGAACCTGAAAGAACGTCTTTGCGTTCAGCCAACAACACTTGGCATGCATCGCGTGGCCACCGCCGCATCCCCCAAGAGTCGGGCGTTGAAGTGTGGATTTTCGTTTGCATAGCCGTCAAGAGGATAGACCTCTCAAAGCCGTGCCCAAGGATGACGGAGATCGTGTTGCAGTGTGCTAGACTGTTGGACAGCTCCATATAAAATCAGTATAGGGTTCGTCCAACTGCACCGGCGGGTGCTTCTAGGAACCGGTGGAACCTGCGGTTCGTCACAGGGCCATGCTGTACGGCCCGTACGCGCGCTCGCAGTGGGTCGGTGGGCCCTTGCGCGCACACCGCAGTGGCTTTTTCAAGAGGCATGTATAAAACACGCACACACACACACACACACCAAGGGTAGCTCATGATGGATTCATGAGCCAAGTTTGAGACTCAAAAAGACTCTATAAAGAAACACGTTCCTTTCATGGTTCATGAAGCAAGTCTAGCAAACACCCAAGGGGTTCTCTAGTTCTTGCTTTTCGGCGGTTGAAGCCGATTCACGCTCCAATTGCCCAATGTTGTGGGTCAGTCTTGGTCAGTGTGACCCACATTGACCACGCCAACTCAGTCAAATGTGGGTCAAGTAGTTTCATTGGGAACCCGCATGGCCCAATGGTGTTAGTGTTGGGTCTATTTTCTTTCTTCCGAGTCAATTGGGGGGCTCCCTATTCTTCCAATGAATACAAATAGGTTCTTGACTAACATTGGGAAGAATTGGGGAGAGGCTCCCGAAAAGCACCTCAAACCCGTTTCGCCCTCTCTTCCGGCTGCTTCTGGCCCGGGCGTTCTCCCTTGCGCTTCTCATCGGCGGCGGCGGCGGAGGCGCGGATGGCCTGCGGCGGAGGCGCGGCGGTCCGAACGGCGGTCCGCTGCGAAAACCGTAGCTCTCTCATGAACTACCCCCACTTCAGAGTCATAATCCGACACTATCTAGGGGTAAAACATGGTGCAAATATCTACATTGTATGGCACCATATCCTCGACCAGTGTTGTGCGAAAGTTGTTGTCAAGCAACATCGATTGTAGCTTCGTGTAAAAATATGTGCAGCACTTATAGTACAGGTAACCTTGCTGCCCTCCTAGTCATGGAGGAACTGCTGTTGTCTTTGCTTGGGCCGTTCCGCTCCTTCCTTCGCACCTCAGCTCGGGCCAGCGGTGTGCCGCTGAAGGACCTGGGAGGTCGGTCTCGGCGGGTCAAGGTCCAAGTCCCGAAAAAGGCCTCAACAGCTTCAACCAACAATTACAGCTTCAACCAGCCTCAACAGCTTCAGAGGCCTCAACAGCAACATCGATTAAAAACCAACTTGGAACTCCACCTATAGGGTCTACTTCCAAACGCCAAACATCTGAAAAGCAACATGACCGTGGCCTTCTTTTTGAGCATCGCTTGACAAAAAAGCAACCAAATACAATAGCTCAACTCCGGGTCCTTCCGGGGTACTCCAAAAAGGAACAGAAATGGATATGCTCCAGCCCTCCAAGCTCAGGTAGCTCCAAAGCACCAGCCAAATAAGGCAGAAACCTTTAGGACGGTGGCCACAGTGTGAGGCAGCAGAACCCGTCTGAGCGAAATGGAGTGTCCAAAACAATGAAAAAAACAGCGCTTATATAAACCTGGACTTTGCAAGGGCATACTGGAAAGCTTTCAACTGACAGTGACAGAAGGTGCTCACATGTAAATATCACATTATATCACACACCCAGCCATGTCCAAAGCCCATCTATACCTTCTGATTCCACCAGGATGTTCCTCGTGACGCTCTCCAATGACCCCGCTTGGTCACAGGGCTCTTCCGCAGCGGACCTCAGAATCGCTGGGTTGGAATCTGAACATGTGCCGAGTGTGTCAATCACAAAGGCGGGGAGGGGTGTGGTACATCATTTTAGGACATGTATGAATTCATGACACCCGCAGGAAGATTCATTGGACTCATGAAAGAGTAGATCTATGAATTGCATGTCCATTGTTGGTTCTACAATGGTGCAGGTCGAGCACAAATCCAAGCATCTGTTCCAGCAATGCTTCCGCCAATCACCGACCCGCTCGACCCGCGACCCCTCCGGCGGGACTCCGGCGATCCTGTTGTGACACATCGGTTGGGGGAGAGCTCACCCGCTTCACCCCCTTCTCGTCTGAACGGCCTTGAACGGACCGAGCGGGTCCGAGTCCAAGGCGACGTTGGAACTACATCGTTGAACTGGTGTTATAGTGCTCAAACGCAGTAAAACAATGGTTGTTTGGTAAAGCCTATGAAATGAATGGCGGTTGTGGTCACTATGGGTCACAAAAATGTCTGACATCTCCATCGATCAGGCAATCTCTGTCTATCTATATATTATATATGTATGGGACTTGGGAAGCCTTTCTGACTTTCTTTCTTCAAGGCTTCCAATTGGATTTCTGCCACCCTCCAAGGTCTTTGGTCTTTGGACAGCTCTCCCATAATTCAATCCACGCGCAATCTCGCCCCTTTCTCGGGCTCGGGCCGCTCAGGCCGCGCGGGCCATCGGGCCACTGGGCCTGGCTGGAGGCCGTGCACACGGAGGCTAACCCTTTCCATGCAAAGGATTGTTTGCATCAACGGCAAAAGGAGTTTGCTTGTGCTTGTGGAGTTGGTATAAAACAAGAATCTTCATCAAGCACCTGCATCCGGATGCAGCTCAGTTCTACTGCTTGCTTGCATCTGCTTGCTGTCCATCATATGTTTGCATGCCAACTTGAAGCCGCTCACAAGGGACCTTTGGTCACAGGGCCAGAAGTCACAAAGAACCTTCTTGTTCAGATTCCATGCACCTCTCAGACTGAGCAGTGAGAGCTCAGACTGAGTTCAGCTCCTGAAGTCTGGGTGGAGACAAGGGCGTCCTGCAGCGCAGGCAACACAACACGCACATGCACTGCTACCATTCAAACCCCAAAACCCACATGCATCTGTTCTCATCTCCAGGGCTCCAACTACCTCGCTTTTCCGCGAGGCAAAGGGGGGTTACTCGGTCACTCCCTCATGATCCCTGGAGGTTGAGGGCTTCTCGCGTGGGACACGACCACTCATGATCCTATTCAGAGATTCCACGATTCAGTGATTCCACGGCGAGACCTTGGAACCCAAACAGTGCCCTGGAAGCAGTTGAAACCATCTAAAACTACTGCTGGCTGGCCGCCTCATGTAACCATTCCGGCGGACCCTCCCAGGCTCCTCGGCCCTGACGCTGATGCTTCAGGTGGTCCCGCCTCATTCACGGAAACCAGCGGCTTGCCGGGACTTGAGCTAGAACTCAGATCGAGAGTACCTTGCCAACCTCCTTCGCAGGTGCCGCCTTAAAAGGCATCAGTCGCTCCAAAATGATGCTTGTTCGCTGGGACGCCTTAATGACGCCCTGCTCACGACTCCCGAGTTCCCTGCCGTCTTGCTGGGCAAGGGTCCAGAACCAGCCTGGACTGCGTTCTCCGTGCTCGCCTCCGTGAGACATGAGGGATCAAGGGCTTTTACATGTTTTTACTGCTTGCCGTGGCAGTATGGTCTGGTGCATTCAATAATCCCTTTCACATTGTTTGGCGGCAAACCATTGATCCAAAGGGAATTGAATTGAGGCTGGGGCAATTTTCCACTTAGTGAGGAGTGAGGAGTGCACGAGATCTCCAAGTGTTTACGACTTTGCGTCCCCTCATCCCACACATGTTGGGTTTAGGGGTTGGATGCTGCTGGCAATGCTGCGGCTGCGCGGTGGTTTTCAAGTTATACATGGCTGCAGCTCAAACGATTTCAATTTCTGTCACCGCAAGTACTGCAGTGAAGGGAAAATCAATGAATGAAACCAGCTGCTTGCTGAGACAAAGGTTCTGCCGGAGAAAAAAGTCCCTGCCACAAACCCCGCACAGGTCAACCATGTCACAAGTTGAGCACACTCCCTTCCACAGTGAAAAAGTGGAAGATAGGAGGACCAAACAGGACCAAATCAAACACAATGTTCCTCGACTCGAGCAAACAAACACTATGTTTTTTCCATGAGTTGTTCATGGTTTCTCACCAAACCCATGTTATCCCATGTTTGTTGAGGAGTTTCTTCATCCAGAATCGCCTCTACCACTGGCATCGCCGAAGGCTCTGGCTCCACAGGACCTGTTGCGTGTGCAAACGAACCACCTCTTACGCCTCTTAGGGTGTTTGCGAAGATGTGCATAACAAGCGTGCTCCTTCAAATCGGATCACCATGTATTTCGGGCCAAATCCCTGGAACCACTCCAAAGCTCACCCATATACGGCTGGCCATTGGTCACCCAATGGCGGTCTGGGGAGTCGGAGAGGAGTTGATCGGCGCTTGCCCTTCGGGGGACTGGGTACGTACGGCCATCTTGCAGACCTTCAGGTCCGAAAGGAGTGCCCAAATGGCTTTCCACAAGAAGGGCCTAGCTGCCACATGAAACACATTGAACATCTATATATTTTCGTTTTAACATATCCAACCATCTCTATAGTACATGCGAGTTTTCGCATGTGGCGTGACACTTCTCCACAATCTGATGACTGCAAAGAACATGCTCGCCACTCGCGTCAGCCTGGCGAGATCACCGGCTCTGCCGGCTGCACGCTGGCTCCGTTGGGGCGATCTCCATTTGCTTCTGGAGGCCGGTCACCTGCAGGAACGGTTGCGCACCCCGAACAGAAACACGCTGTATATTGGAAAGGCCTAACCAGGGTCACAGCACGAACACACGGAGATCCGGCGCGCGTTCGAGCTGCCGTCGAGTCGTAGAGCTGAGCTGCGTTGGGCGACCGAGCGACCTGTTCTAAACGTTGTTGGTTGTGTTGAAGCAGAACCAGAAACCATAGACTTTCACTGGTGCAAGCTTCATGGGAATGAGAGTAGCACGGTGGCTCGATGACGGAAACTCCTTCGAAACCGAGTGTCTTTCACTCATCCAGACACATGTTTGTTAAATGCAAGATTCTCTGGCCAGATTGACTCATTGAATTCGGATTTGTTCAATTTCAAGGCTCTTTGACTGATTCTATCAGCTTCCAGAAAGTAGACGCTGATCGCACCCACCCATCGCACCCATCCGCGCGGCGCCTGATGCCTCTTCCGCCTCGATGACCGCACCGCCGGTTGGAGTCGACCGTTCCCAAGGCTTCGGTAGTGGATCGACGACTTTGCGGCCTGATGCCTCCTATAGCCAAACACTCCATGGGACTGCCAGGACGGACTGCCGAGAAACGGCCAGGGGTGGTGGTGGTGCCAGAGGGGTCTGTCTGGGGCGGCAGTCCTATGGGATAGCCATTCTGGCAAACATCTACACCCCCGGAACCTCACATGGACCCCGGTTGGTAGAGGAAAACCATCTGACCCCGGTGACCAGGACGGACCCGGGTCTATGTGAGTTGACTCGGGAGTGTAGCCATTCTGGGAAAGAACACCACCATTCTGGGAACTCGTTCCACTCATAAAGCTCACCCAAAAAACCTCCAGATTGTTGAGTGAGACTGTGATGGACACCTTTTCGTGGCACGAGGAGAAGGTCGCCGATGTTTTTGTTCAGGATATAGTGCTTAAATGAGCCAAAAAGGAACACATCAAACAAAAACCTTGACCTAATATGGACACATCTCTCTTTTTTAAAGCACCAGGAATCGCAAACAGGATCGTGGGAGGAAAGCACCAAAGGATCCTGCGAAGAAGACTGGGCCATTTATTAAACAAAAAACAGCAAAAGAACTCGCGGAAACATTCCCTCAACCCCTCCCATCCCCCCCAAGACAGGTGCTGACATGCAAACAACCCCATGCTTTAGAAGTTGCCATCGGAAGGATTCAGCACATCTGCTGTCCCAGCAAGACTCCTGTGTTCTTTGCTACGGTACTGAGCCCCAGCCTGCGCCTCCGTTCCAGCAGCTGCCTCCGTTCCAACGGCCGCCGGCTTGGCTTCTGGCCTTGTGGGCCACGGTTGGCACCTACTGCAGCTACGATTCAAGTAGTCGCTTTAGTCAAGAAGCACTATTATTGTACTACAAAAGGGCACCTTTAAGTCTCCTCTAGCTTAACTGGACCCTCAAGTTCCGTGTGCTCTACCTACTAGCTGCCAAACCTACCAAACCAACCCATAATATACCATTTGACCACCAAGCCGACCAGGGCATCTGCACAAATTAGGCATGAACTTCCAAGGTTCAAACCAACATCCGAATCTCCCATGAAGCAAACTCACACCATGAAGCAAACTCACAATCTGGAGCATCCATCATGTGCTGAGTGCTGAGCTCGAAGACTCAAAAGAATTTCCTTCTCTCATCTCTGCATATCTTTCCATAATTTGTTCATCCACCAACTTCAAGATCATGCTTGGACAGCAAACATGTCCGGTGTTCCCCGTCCTGACAAGTCGTGGAATGTGGCTCAGCAAGGCTCTGATAGGCCGTCCCGACAACTGGGGTCCCAGCAACTCCAACTCCACAGCAAGGCCTCCTTCCTTGGGCTCCACGGGCACCTGCCGTGGAGAACAGCTGGGCTGCCAGCTGGGCTGCCAGTTGCTACCGGTGCGGCGACGGGATCTTTGAAAGGATTTACCTGGGTCTTTCCTTGTCAAAAGGTTTCCCTTATTTGTCCATGACCACTCATTGGATCGCTGCGGCCTGAAATCTGGAGGGTTGCTGCCCGAAAGCATCGCACAAGGATGAAACTGCGTTTTTTCACACGTGTTCTCGCTCCTTTGCTCGTCCCCAATGCCTTGGCAAAAGCCAAGAACGTAACGGTCGCCTTTGCGTCCAGCACCCCATCTTCCAACCCCCAGCGGATTTTCAGGACAACCTCTCCTGGGCAACGTCTGCAGATCTGATCTGTGCCTCGGATGCTTGGGTGATGTCCTGACCGAGCTCACCATCTGGGACCTGCGATCTGCGAGCTTCTGGACGGAGGTTCTGAAGACAAGCAAATGACTCTCAGAACAACTATTATATTTGATCATACCCAGACACTCCATGGGACTGGAATATTTACCTACATTGGGGTGGTGCCAGAGGGGTCAATGTAGGCATAGACAGACATGGAATGTCTCGGATATTTGACCCCCAAACGTCGGGATCTACGAACATCTATATTTGGGGGTCTAAGGACAACAATAAAAACAATCAAAGGGGTTCCCGAAGATTCCCGAATCTTCAGTCTCTCTCTCTCTCTCACTCTCTCCGTTACCTTTCTGTGTCCAAAGATCGGAATACCCTGCCGCAGTTCCAACCTGCTTTTGGATCAAACAGGATCAAACAGGCATGTGTTTGAGGTAGTCTTGTCCAATCTTTTTGCACTTTCCGTGCAGCACCAGCTGCAGCTTCTGACAGCTGTCTCACCCCGCCTGTACAGCACTGTCCCTCTTGGACGTCACAAACGGGACGAAGACAGCGAGTCCGGTGCTGTTTTGAAGTGCTCCCTGGGGCCGGTTCCGGCGCTTCATCTCCGAAGTTCTGGACCAACATATGGGGAGTCCAACCAAAATCCCACCTACTAGAATGGTTTTACATCTCGCACCAGTGTTTTACTCACCAACAGTCAATTCGGGTAGTTTTTGAAGGCCAGACCGGATGTGCGGTCGACCTGGAACCCAGACGGGAGTTGGTGAGGTTGATTCCGCATGCCAGGTGCAAGATGGCTCTTGACTGGAATCTTTCACCACGGGAAATGGAAGTACACTTGCATACCGTTTGCTTCGGGCATCTCACCCGCCACGCCTTGGCCACAAACATGGAATACAGTGAGCATGAGCATGCTCAGAAAATCACAAGACACCCCACTGCTGCAATATGAGAAAGCAAGCAAACGTCCATGATGGCGCTGATCTTTTCACTCTGATTCTAGGATCTTTTCAAGGGCAACCCGGCCCCATTGTTCGCTTCCACATGTCTTCGAGTCTTCTTATATAAGCCAAAACGATCTCCAAAAGTCTCAGGTTAGGTGCACCTGAGCTACGACCTTGTAATACTAGTCGCACTGGTTGTTGACGTTCGATGCACCGGTGTATGGTGTGGGTTTTTTTTGTGCGGCAATTTATGGTAACAAACATGGCAATAAACAACTTGCTCTACAACGTGGACACTTGGTTGGAGAGCAAGTGCTGAGGCCTTTGACCATCTGCCGTTGTGAGACCGAAGGCAGTCTGTAGACCTCTAATCGATGGCCAGACACCCAAAGGGCTCCCATGGCACAGGTACAAAGCTACTAAGCAAAATGCTTCATTAAGCCACTGGTGATTTGTATCTGTGGTTGGAGTTGACCAACAAGGATAGTGTTAAGCTCAACCTCTGTGTAATTCCCAGGAAACATCAGGAAACCATGTGTAGCTGTGGTTTGGGTCGTAGCTCACTTGCTTTTCATGTCCTGCCTCATCTGTCTGGCCCTCGGCGCCAAGGCGCCTACCCGGCGGTTCAAACAGCTGCTTCTACCGGGCCGGAGGGTGGGCGCACTTGATATGCTCGCATGAAAAAAAGGCATGTTTACCTTGGTTTGGTAGATCTATTCATGTTTATACAACTCAGTTTAGGGATTTGGATCGGAATGGGACGTCTTCTGTTCCAGACCTCTAGCTAAAATCAGCGAAGAATGGAAGCCTGTGACTTATTGATTACTCTCAGCATTCTTGTAACTTACAATGGGTGCAACAAAAGACAATGATTGTGGCCCACAGCGCAGGGCCTCAAAAACGTCAAAGAAGTCGCGATGACTTGGTTGATTCGGTTGGATTCAATTTGCGAACCCCCAACTCAGACGTCTGAGCTGGCAGCTGTCAGAGCTGACCAGGCCAGCAAATGCGAAGAAGAAGGAGAAGTGTGAGTTGTCCAGGCAGAAGAGTTCCACCAGGTCGTTCTATTTCTGCAGCTGCAGCTTCTAGAGGTCCCTCCCTGATGCTCCACCTGTGTTTCAGGTCACAACACCCCGCCTGCTTTCAGCTTCAAGCTCCACCTCCTGAACCACGTGGAAAACCAAAACATGAGCAAACTGCCGAAGATCCACCAGTCCAAGTGGACTATACAACCTCATTTTAACAGTGTTAAGTGTATGTTAGTGTTAGGGATATAGATTGCTGGAGAGTTCTTGTGCATGTGGGCTCTTGGGAAATCAGTCCCTCAACTGTAGGGCCCTCTCCTTAAACCTCATACGTGGCAGGATGCCAAACGTGACGCCGACCGCCCTGGCCAGTCACCACGGGATTCGACACGTGTCAAAACGAGGAAATACGAGGCAGCCATCCGATCCAACATGCGATCACCAACATTCGGCATTGGTTTCGCCATGGTTCACACTTTGGCCGTAGCTTTTAGGTCACTCACGATATGCAACCCCTAAGGTGAATCTAGAGAGTAAGGTGACTGTAGTCTGTAGTGTCAACTTAGGTGGAGATGCTCCTTCTTGCCCGAAGGGCTCGTTAGCTTGGGGTATGCAATTACCCGACCAGGTCATTCCTTCCAATTTCACCAAGCGCAAAGTGCTGCAGCTCGCTCTGGAGTCTTAGGGGTTAGCAGTCAATAGCCTTATATAAACATAAATGTTTGAGTCCAGTGTCATGATGTCCTGCATTGGGAGGATTATTGCAAAGTCAAGGATCGCCCTTTCTCCTTAAAACCTGCAGAAATCAGTCGCAAGACGTGAGAATCTTCAAGTCTTCTTTGTGTTTCTTAGGTGCCTTGGACAAAGAGCATCCCAGGGATGTCCACATTACTATCATTACTAGGCATGTCATGTTGAAGAGAGTCCGCTCCATGTCTCTCGCTCATCCCCTCCCCTTCTCTGCTTGTCAGCTCCTGCTTCTCTGCTGTCTTGCCCGCCTCTTCCTGCCGGGATGGCAATCAGCTGCATCCGGAGAGAGCAAATCCCGTCTTCCAAGCAACGACTCCACAAGACCCTAGCTACTTACTGCAGGACTGTCCACCTGTTACTCTAGCCGTGAATGGCCTCCTTCCTCGCAAGTCAGCATCTTTGACATGGTGCCAACAGGTCTGGCTCCACCCCAGGACGAATGCGAGCATTCGGCCAACCCCGAAGCACGGTGACACAAAGCTTACACGAGTCAGCTTGCGACGTCGCACGAATTAGATTCGAATTACTTGGCCAACATACCTATACTATACTGTATGTCTATAAATCAAACATAGGGCTGCCCAAGGCAGATCTGCCCAGGTCTGCATCTTTTGATCTAATTTTGGGGTCAACTTCCCAGGCCTCGTGGGAAACAATGATGCCTGGATCTTTGCCGGAAGAAGGTTCATGCGACACGGCAAATCTCAGGCACCTGCTGTTGGATGTGGGTTGATGGTCCCCCTGACATAGAAGTGTCTATATTACTCCAGGCTACGCGATGCGTGGAGAGTCTCTCCTTTAATGTCATCTTCTATGTTGGGCTGCCCCGGTGGCCCATCTCAACACGGAGAAGTCTATATAGTCTCAATGGTCTCAACTCACTTCTGCTTCGGGGTGTCCATCACAGACCAGCAGGCCTCGGAGACGGAGAAACAAGAGATGGGGACTCTTGAGACGGGGGGATTTTATGAATCAAGAGTATCAAGAGTCTACATTGAACGGTGGTGCCTGTGGGAGTAGACCGGAAGAAACATGAACAAACTCACAGTGACAAGCATGTCATCTTCGCTCATCAAAGATTCTCAACACGGTCCTTTTATCGAGCGCCATTTGTACCGGCACCGCATGAATGTTCCTTCCACCCGCTGGTCAAGTATCACATTTTGGAGGCCCATCATCTGAGATCCGAGAAATGCACAAAAATAATCCACCAGGAGTCACATGTCGGGGTGGTGTGACTCGTCCCTAAGTGAGTGGATGTTCTGGGCACCCTAAACCTCCATGGATAGCACCCCGTCTTGTGACTGCTGGTATTTTACTTTAAAGAGCACAATCGCGATGGCCTCCAACCCACTAGTCCACCGTCTCCATAGGTCCAGACCCTAGGGGTCCACTGTGGCCCTAGCGATGCGCCTACACCGGTGTCGAAGACATCACCCTTGATAGGAGGGCATGTGGACGCATAGGGGTGAAACAGCAGATCCAGGATGCCATGGAAATTCCTGCCCGGAGCGGGGTGATGAATCAGGGCAGGGATGGGGAGATGAATCTTCATTCAGTCTGATCTTCTCTCTCACTTGTTGTTGCGCTTCAAGCGCACGTGCCGTCCAGAGATTGTAGATATGTGGCAGTCGTTCATGTTCCACTCGCTGCTCGGTCACCTTCATTCTGAACTACTGCCCCACCACCTCACCACCTCCGCCAACTAAACAAACCAAGGCGCTGTCAACTCCTGTTCCATCGACAGCGCAGTGCTGGGCTGCTCGCTTGCTTGCCAGCGCACTGGGGAGGATGGAGCATCTGAGCCTCAGTATGAGACTACGATGATAGACTACTTGTTTTTCTAGTTGCGTGTGCTGCAGGCACGCTCTTGTGATGTTTTGTGATATTGCTGAGTCGCTGAGTTGCATGGAGGTTTGCCCGTGCCGTAAGGGAAGGAGTAAACCTCCACAGTTGATGCATCGATGGAACCCGTTCCTCCTTCGTGGCGTCGCGTGGCGTTGCGTGGCGTTCGGTCGCTGACCGCCCTGCAAGAAAATCTGGGATCACCTTCTTGAGCCTGCACTTGCTTGAACTGCCAATTTGCTGTTGCCGGCTGCTCGGCCTGTCAGCACTAAGTACTAAGCACTAAGTCGGAAGCCATCTGAGTCTTGTGGAGGCTGCTGGTGACCAATAGAAGGCAACAGGTACCCTCCCACAAACAAACATACATAGAGAGAGAGAGAGACCCGGCTGCTTTCCACCAAGTCTTTGCGTTGGGGAGCCATCGAATTGGAACCCAACAACATCTCCAAAGTTAGTGACGTAGATTAGATGGTAACCCCGCTATCGAACATATGTATATATATATAATATATATTATATATACCCTGGTGGTCCTCGACCTTTAAAAGAAAGGTGGTTCCACAGAGGCCTTTCTTTGCAGCCAACCACCTTTGATTGCATTCTTGAACGCCCGGCCACTCTTGGAACGTATAAATCGCCAGGCTCAGAGGCATTCAGAGGCCATTTTGGCCCTACAACCCTAGACCGCGCAGATTCCTATGATTAGATTGTTTTGACATGTCTTGATAAGATTGTGGGATCCATAGATCTATACCACTTAGCGCAGTTAAAGACTAAGTACTGCTGTGTTTTGTTGCATCCCTCGACCAAAGACCATGGCACATGAAGCGTGCTTTGGCCAAGCGCCCGAAACTTAGCCAGCACTCTTGCATCAGCTTTTCTCCAGTAGAGCGCTCATCGTCCTGTGTGCCTCCAATGCCCAGGTGCTCTGGAACAGGAGTATGGTGATGACATTGTGGACCTCTCGGATTTGGATGAAGGTGTGCTCCCCCAATTTCAGTATATAAATCGCCAATGTGATTGTGACATATTGTGACTGTTGTTTGCCCTGTGGATGCATGCGTTGAGATCGCCTGCACTATTTTCTATCACTTCTGTGGGTCAAGCAGTGGTGTGCTCTAGTGGGATCTGAAAGGGTTTCCCAAATCTGTGCGATACTGCTTCGCAATCTCTCCAGAAACATCTGCGCAATGTCGGCAGTGAAACGCATTGATCCAAAGAGAGTGGCTTTGCTAAAGGACTGTTCGATCAAGATGTGCACACTAGCTATGCATGTCAAACATGGGATGCAGCCTACCCAAAATACCCAAGACATACAATAGATCCTATAGAAGTGTTCAGAACAAGTGGATGTCTCCATGCCATATGTGAAATACGTTGTGTGATGATGTCATTGCAAATTAATAGATCGATCTATATAGACTCTAGGTCTACACTAACTGATTGATCATCCCTGACCAGGAATTGCTAAAGGGCTTCTGTGAAGATGAGACGTGGATCTCTGAACGCCGCAAGTTGCTACGGATTAGGGCTGGACTACGAGAAACCGACAGGAAATTAGTTCTTGCCTTATTACTTCTTTTAAGCACCACTGTTTTTGACAATGGTTCAGTCATGAATGAATGAACTTAATTAGCATCAAATAGCTCATCCTACGAACTACCTTTGGTGGTCGAGTGAACTTACGACATAGTTTTGATTAAACAGACTTTCTCTATGTCGCTCCAGGTTCCCAAGTTTCGATTCATCATTCAGGAAGGCCGAGAGCTGGGTGAACGAGAGGTGCCACCCACTGGTATATTGCACATGCACTTCCGTTGGATTTACAAGTGTTGATCATGCAATGCCCATGTCATTATTGCACGGCATTGTGAAATGGATATTTCTTCTAGTTCATTTTGGCAGGTTGAGAACCCACTGAACCATGTCTTTGCCATGCAGTACTGTGCAAGTTTTGCCCATGATCTGCCCCGACGCCGAGAAATTGAGGATGTTGTGTGAAATGGCAATGTGCAAAAGCCTGCGTTTATAAAATATATTATCGCACAACTTACAAATTGTTTGATTGAATCATGTTGCTGGCCTTTTTGAACTCACTTCCAGGAAGCGTTGAAGTTTACAAGTTTGACCTTCAAGTTGAATCCATGGCAAAATGTCCAAAAGCACCAGGACGTTGCAGTTGCAATCATGCAAACTATCCACCATAGAGTGGAACTGACTTGAACATCTTGTAAAACATTCGTTCGAAAAAGTGACATTGTGCAGGATTGGGCTGCGATTGAGGCGGGAGTGATCCAAGCCCTGGGATCCTGGTGCCTGGACAGGTTCCAAAGAAATCCGAGTGCGAGGCCTGTTAACCGGTGAAATTCACAAAGTGTGTCGGCATATTTTTGGTTCATAATGCATTTTTCTTCAATTGCACGCTTTTTCTAGAATACATTCCTCCACAAACCGCTCCTGGCAGACCTGGGCATGAACGCATGGAGCAAATTCGTTCAGTGATCCGAGCGAAGTTGCAGGACTGTTATTATGAACACATCTTTTTGTACGCGTTTGGCTTCACTATGCAATATTACGTTCTTCCTTGCTTGGCGATAGTGGCCGTTTATGGCCGTTTACAAAACTGCATAGTTGGTATAGTGCTAGGAGCACGATCTCCTTACACCAGAAGGCAAAAGGGTGGCATCACGGGGTCGTGGCATCACAAAGATCAAGGCAGGTTGAGTAGAATAGATCGATAGACATGCACGCACTTGGTCCCAGTCGTGTGCCATAACGTGTTTGACTCAGGAGGCAGAGGCCAAAAAGCGTGAAGAAGCAAAACAGTTGGCCGAAGCTCAATCAAAAAGCCACCCAGTTGATGAAGCTGAGACTCAACAGATGGTCCATGATTCTCAACTTCCCTATTCTCCTTCTCCGGTGCGTCCTATGCAGGCGCTGGAGTCACCCTCTGCTCCAATGCCGTTGGCTCGAGGGGTCTCCACCTCGGCCCTTGATTTGGCAGAGAAAGAGAAGGATCAGCCAGTGGCAAAGAATGATGGTGCTACAGAGCTAGGTGAGGAGGAGGAGGAGGAATCGGAGGAGGGGCTGACTGCGATTGATGATGGTGATGAGGTTTGTGCAATTGAGGATGATCTGGATGAACCGCTTGGGACCGTGGCATATCAAGACAACGACACTTTGCTGATTGAAAGTGACAGTGATGAGTTGCCTCCTTCCTTGCCAAGGGAGGCAATCCCGGAAGAAGACCAAAATCCTTCAGTTGCAGAACCTGCGCCACCTACTCAAGGTGCAGTCAACACTGATGAGAAGGTGTCTGCTGAACCTGAAAGAGTGACAGACAGCCTGGCACTGCCAGATGATTCACAGCAGGTTGCTGAGATTGTTGCTGACCTTCAGGAGCAAGTGC